GAACGGACTTGAGTGTATTTTGATGCAGTCCGGGAGAGTAGTAGCTTATGGTTCTTGGCAGTTGAAGAGCCACAAGCAAAATTATCCCACGCACGACATGAATTTGGTGGCCATTGTCATTGCCTTGAAGACTTGGCACCACTATTTATATGATGAGTGGTTCGATATATTTTCAAACCACAAGAGTCTGAAATACATCTTTACTCAATGCAACTTCAACATGAGGCAGCGCAGGTGGATGGAGTACTTAGAGGACTATGACTTCACTTTGTATTACCATCTCGGTAAAGCAAATATGGTGGCTGATGCACTCAGCTAGAACTCACGGGGAGTCTTGGCTAGTATGGCTTTCTGGGAGTGGTAGATGCTCAAGACTGTAGGTTAGTTCGAGCTACATTACATGAGTCAAGCTCAGGGCATTATGGGGAGCTTGATGGCGACGTTTTCCCTACAGAGCAGGGTGATCAAGTCCCAAGAGCAAGACATAGAGATATTTTTCTTGAGGGACCGAGTACATTCGGGTATAGGTGACAAAGGTTGGGCCATTCACACGAATGGTAGTTTTTGGTTCAGGGGAAGAGTTGTGGTTCCCTAGTTTGCAGATCTGAGAAAGGAGATCCTTTGGGAGTTTCATTGCTCTCGTTTTATTGTACATCTAGGGGATACAAAGATGTAACATAATCTTCATTGCCAGTACTAATGGAGTGAGATGAAAAGGCAAGTTGGGGACTTTGTTAGTCGATGTCTCATGTGTCAGCAGATCAAGGCTGAGCACCAGAGACCAACAGGGTTGCTTCAGCCTTTTGGAGGTGGCTGAGTGAAAGGTGGAACACATCACGATGAATTTTGTGATCCACTTGCCATGTATATCTCGAGGAAAGGATGTAGTGTGAGTGATAGTGGACCAACTTACAAAGTCGACACACTTTTTTGGCAGTGTGGATGACTTCACACTAGAGAAATTCTGCAGATTGTATATACGGAAGATAGTCCGATTTTCATGGAGTGCCTATGTCTATAGTATTAGATCGGAATCCTAGGTTCACGACTCATTTTTGGGAGAGTTTTCAGCAGGCCATGAGAACGTAGTTGATGATGAGCACAAATTTTTATTCCTAAATGAACGGTCAGTCAAAGAGGACCATCCAGATTTTAGAGGACATGCTACGGGCATGCGTCCTTTATCTCAAGGGTAGTTAAGAAAAATACTTACCCTTATTGGAGTTCACCTATAGCAACAGTTATTAGGTGACCATATAGATAGCACCCTATGAAGCATTATATAGGAGACATTGTCGTTCTTTAGTTTGTTGGACAGAGATTGGAAAGAGACCATCTATGGGTCCAGATTTGATTAGAAACACCTCAGAGAAGGTGGACTTTACATGGAAGCGTCTTCTCATGGTTCAGAGCCGGTCGAAGAGCTACACTGATAAACGGCGATGACCTCTAGAGTTTGAGGTTGGTGATCATGTCTTCTTAAAAATGATGCCTAAAAGAGGTGTGGTCAGATTTGAAAAGCAAGGGAAGTTGTTACCGAGGTACATCGAGCCCTTCAAGGTACTCGAGAGGGTTAGTACAGTTGCTTACCGGTTGACGTTACCGCCAAATTTATTGGGTGTTCATGCAGTGTTTCATATCTCTATGCTTCAGAAGTACACTCCTGATCCAACACATATGATGGATTGGGGTGAGCTAGTTGTTAATATGGATGGGACCTTCAAAGAGGGACCGAGGCGTATCATGGATAGCTGAGAGCATGTTTTGCGAGGCAAGGTTATAAGGCTAGTGAAGGTGTTGTGGCAACACAGAGGTGTGGAGGAGACGACATGGGAACGTGAGAATACTATCCGTATGAGTTATCTGTTTTTGTTCGAGTATGGAGGTATATTCTTATAGTCATTTAGTATTATATGACTATTGCATATGCATATGATTGAATGTGCGTGCATGTAAATTTCGGGGACAAAATTCTTTTAAGGGGAGAAGAATGTAAAACTCGAGTAAATTTGAAATTTTTATGAAAAAATGGCAAAACAGTAATTTATCGTTACAGTACGGATTGAAAACTCAAATTTTTCTAGAACTCAAATAACGAAACGGACCTTATTGTTGAATTCGTCACGCAAAATCTAGTTTCTCTGTCAATTTTCATTGAATTCTGAGATAGTCAAATTTTTTGCGTTTTATGAGGCGACTAGGTGTCTTGTGATCTAATAAACGAGACCAGAAACTAAATTTTAAAAAGTGGATAATAATTTAAAGTTAGTTCAAATAAAAATATTTTAAACTTGATCAGGACGAAATTAATCAATTCGGGACAAAACTGGACCCGAGAAAAGAGAACGTGTGACGCAATGAGGGCCAAATGTTTGGAGGGTATAAAAGGGGAAGAAACTCAGATTTTCTTTCCCATTTCTCAGCCTTTTATCCAATAGAAAAGAGAGAGGAAGAAGAGAGCAAAAGAGCAAGAGTTTCTCACTTTCTCACTTTGATCTACGATCTACGATCTACGACTCTATGTTGGTCGAATCGACTCAAACCAAGAACAAAAGTTGTTCTTCTCGTCGAGAGCTACAAGACCATTCCAAAAAGGATGGATTTAGGTGAAATTCCAAAGATGTATCCTTGGAAAATCAAGGGTTTGAGCATGATTGATGTTCTTGAAGGTTTCTACCAAGTGTTTTAAGCTTTAAGAGATAGGGTTCCTTTCCTAATTAGGTTTATTTTCAACCTAGGATCGTTATTTAGAATAGGTAGGGTATTAGAGATGTAATCTCATGTATAGCACTTGTCTATGGTAGTTAAAATGAGGAGATGGGTAATTCTAGCATGAATTAGTATTTAGAAATTGCTAGCTTGCCATTTTTTTAGGAATTGTGTTATGTGGACATGTTGTGTGTTTATATTATGCCTATGTGAATTAAGTGTTTTATTTACATAAATTATGTTATAACATGCTTGAAAAATGTTGTTGGGTATAAATGTTGATATCTGTTTGATGATTTATTAAAATTAAGATGGTTTATAGTGATTATATGCTCATGATAGAATTGGCCATGAAAAATGTTGAAAAGTGATTGAAATGGTTTATATGGTGCTCATAAGATATGAAACATGATATTAAAATTGTAATTGTACATTACATTGTATATGCACAGAGACATTGCATTCATGGGCATTGGCATCAGTGTGGGTGTGTGTACATATTTTTAAATCAAATGCCCTTCTTGGGGGTTGAGGCTTGGAGTCGAGAAGGTTAGACTTAGGTTCGGCTGAATTGTGTGGTTGCATGAAAAACTTGTGTCGAATATAGTAAGAAGAGTTAGATTTTCCGTCGGGTGCAAGACCCAGCTACTAGTTTATACACTTTCATCGGTGAAAGTCCAAAAATGTGTATCGGTGCTTGAAACCGGTGGTGAGATACCAAAATCTATGTACCCAACAAAGACACATGATTTTTTTTTTTTTAAATAGTCATTCAATGTATAAAATCAATGACGAGAGTTTAGAATGTCTGGTTTCATATGCATGACATTGCATGTATTGAGGGAGCCAATGGAGGCTCGGGTTGTGGTCCAGTAGGTAGGTTCTACTGGTAGAACGTCACATTTTGCTTGTATAACATCTCCAATAGGGTTCTCCTAACGGTAGAATGTCACGTTTCCTACCAGTAGAAGAATTGCAGAAGTTTTTTTCTACCAGTAGAACATGTAATTCTTCTACCAATAGGTTTCCTCAAGTTTTTATGAAAACTGAAGTCCAGTGTACAACTTCTACCGATGGGACTTTGAACACTTCTACCGGTATGTTTTCTTTAAACTTCAAAATTTTAAAATAATTTCACTAACTCTCAGGCATTGACTCCTTGTGCTTAAAGGAGGTCTAAAAGGAAATTATGAGTATGAATGGATGAGTATGGGACCATGGATTGGTCAATGATAAAATGTACACAGGTTATCCATGTTGGTTATGATCCCGGTGAAGGGAATATTATTAACGTGATATCAGATTGTGCGATATTCACAAGTATTTTTGCTAGTTGATGGACGATCAACGGTTGACAAAAAACCCCCGGTTTCAAGGGCATCACATTACTTATAACATACTATTAATTTTTAGGTATATTTAAATATTTTCTCCCTAGTATTTTCTTATCCTATCCATTAGGATGATCTACAATTAAATGGCTACAAATTTTTGCACACACTTTGAATACATTAAGGACATTTTTTTGTGGATAATTCTATATGCACCAAATTTGTGCGCCAAAACTTACATCAAATCAACTGTAGTCGTTGGATCACTGATCTAATGGCTGCAAGTGATTTAGTGCAAGTTTTGATACATAAAAAAATAAATAACATTGCTCTTTTTTTATATATTGTCGATTTGTTGGGTTTCTTTTGCAATTATTTAAGCTATAAAAGATTGTGAAAACTTGATTACATAATTAAATAAGTGATCAATAATAAATAAATTATAATTTGATTGTATATATAGAAAAAATTTATTTTAATGGTATTGATAATGAAATTATCAAGTAATGCTTTCAAAGTAAGAAAGTTTGTCAGATTCAATTAGCCTCATTTTTTGTCAAGGGTTCTAATTAATTTTTATTTGATTTACTTTTTATTATTTATGTTATGTGCATCAACATTTGTCCATTTTGTAATTAATGAATATTCCAGTATTAAATATAATATCAAAAATTTAAATATGTTATTTTATTTTTATTAGGGTGCCCATCCATATTAAAATTTTTGGCTCCACTCACCAAAAGAAATTCCGAATGCTCAATGAAAAAAATTTTCAGATCTTCATTAAAACACCCCCACTAACACGAGTAAATATTACTCACCTAATACACCCTACATCAATCGGCCATTTAATTACTTTAGCCTAACTAAGAAAACAAGTTTATTTTTCAACAAATAGTAATCAGATAGTAAACATAGTACTGAACATTAAAAGCTCTGGTCCAGCAAAACGAGGTGATCTCACACAGTAATAGAAAAAGGATATGGACATGGAGGCACTGTAACTTCAACAACACCTTCAAGCATTTGGCTAACCTTCCCCATATTTGGCCTTAGAGATGGATCTTCTTGAATACACCAAATGCCAACCATCACAAACTTCTCAAGCTTCTTCACATCATCCAAAGCCTCAATATCATCCTGAACCAAATCCTCCAATGTTCCTTCCTGAAAGCAGTCCCAAACCCAATCAGTCAAAATCTCTCTCCCTCCATCACCACCCGCCTCCAATCCTTCCAAGCTTCTCCTACATGAAATTATCTCCATTAACAACACCCCAAAGCTGTACACATCAACCTTCACTGTGATCGGAGTGTTTCGAAACCATTCGGGCGCAACATAGCCTTTAGTACCTCTGATTCCAGTATTTGTTCTACTCTGATTGATCATCAAAAGCTTTGCCAATCCAAAATCAGAAATCCGAGCATTGTAATACTCATCAAGAAGTATGTTCTGAGGCTTTATATCGCAATGAATGATTTGGGTGCTACACTCTTCATGTAGGTAGGAGAGTCCTTTGGCAATCCCCAATGCAATTTGGGTCCTTTTGTCCCAACTGGGTTTTGGGTCACCAAAAAGATAACCTGCTAGTGTGCCATTGCTGAGATACTCATAAACCAGTAAACGGTGCTGTCCTTCGTCGCAAAATCCGAGCAGTCGAACCAAGTTCTTGTGGTGAGTTTGGCCTATCACATTTACTTCTGTTTTGAATTCTTTGTAATCATCTTGAGTCACTCTATCTAACTTCTTGACTGCGATGATATTAGTCGAACCAATTGGCAATTCTCCTTTGTAAACTATGCCAAAAGCACCTCTTCCCAGTTCTTGTTTGAACCCATTCGTAGCTTCTGCGAGCTCTTTATATGTAAAACATCTCAAATTTGATCCCACAACATCGTTACCTTGGGGAATCTTTGCGATTTTCTTGTGGTAGATGAAGAAAAACCCAAGGCAAGTTGCACCAATTAATACAAAGTTGATGAATACAGAGCTCCCCAAAAGCACTGATCCCACAAGGATCAAAGCTCCATTTTTCTTCTTCTTGGGTTCTGAAACAGGAGGACTAGGACTCCGAGTCTGTGGAGGAACATCACCTTTCCTAAATTTTACAAAAGCCTTGGAGTTAAGATTGGTGTCTTTTCTCCCATATGAAAGTGGTAGCTTCTTCATCCAACAGCTATTGTCTCTATATATAGCAACAGCACAGAAACAATCTTTTAAGCAAGAATTTCTGCAATCTTCTTCACTATAAGGGTTGAACTGCTCAAAATCTGATGTTGGCCAATCTGTATCAATGATCTCAACAAAATCGTACAGATCTTCTGGAGAACCCAACTTATATTCATCGCAACTTTGAATGAAACTAGGTTTGCAACTTCCGTACTTATCATTCGGGTCAAGTAATGAGTACCCCTGTGGGCATTCACAAATGGGTCTTTGATATTCATTAAGTCTGCAAACACTGTTATACCCACAAGGCCCACTACCTTTATTACCTTCACCTCCAACAACATCGGCGCATATATTTTCCGGCAAAGACCAGAGAGCTTTCCAGTTCGACTCGTCGGAAAAATTTTTCCGGTGAGAATACAGGACAAAAACTCCATCAAAATTCAGAGTGGCTCTAAGATAATAATCTGAAGCTGGAAGTGCCGGCTGTGTTGGATGCAGAAAATATCTTTCGTTGCTTCTTTTCAATACGTACATACTGCCCATCTCATTAAAGATCAATTGATAACCAGTATTTGATGAATTCGCAGCATCCCATGTGCCAGTGGCAAAGTAAGCCTTATAGGGAAAATTGGTAGCCACGTTTCTTGGATACAGCACAAGATTCCCATCTTTTTGCATTATTAAAAGGAACCTTCCCGGCGAGAAGCTAACTTCCGACTGGCGGGCAAAAAGTACTCCGTCCACCTACATGATCTGTGTAGGCAAAAGGGTATCAGTCGGATTATCGAAACTCTGCCATATATTGACAGAATCACTGCGCGCAAGAACAAAGTTGCCTGTATCGTTAAAAAAACCATAAGAAACTTCATCAGCAATGGAGTTAGTACTCCATATAGAGCTGTTCTCACTATTACTCAGAACTAGGCCACGGTCTGAAGTGAGCTCTAGTTTTGTTCCTCTTGGCAAAGGATCAACATTCCATGGGTACCAAACTATTGTTTGATCTGGTAATTTGTGAAACCATATGGAAAGCATGAAGAGATCTTTGTTATTTTGAAGTTGTTGAAACCCAAATGCAAAATCACCGGAAGGTGAAAGCCATGGGGTGGTTCTGTCAGTGGCTGTGAGAGATGAGCCTATTGATATGTTGCCATTGTTTTGAGCAACAGTTGAAGATGTGAGGAGACAGATTAAGGGGAAGAGATGAAGAAGAGTATAATCAGCCATCGCTAGAACAATTTGGGTTTCATGAAGATAAAAAAAAATATGGGGCTTATAACTTTAAAATGATTTTTAAGTCTACTGAAAGGTTTTCAAGTCAACTTAGACTTTTCAACGAAACAAGATATGTTTTTGCTTCGTTGTAATTTTCAAAAGCCACAGATGACTTCTTTATCATAACTATTCCATGGATGAGAATACAGCTGGTCTTTAATTGGCATGGCACAACATGTAAATAATTTTGCCCCTTAAAAAGGGCTAAATTAGCGCTCTTAATCCATCGTGTTTAGCCAAAAGTTGGTGTTATAGGTGAACTATTTATAAACTATGTTTATTGAATTTAAGTCGTGTTTATATGAGTTGATATTGATTTATTTATTTAACAGACCTAACAGGAATACCCATTTATCATCCTAACTTATTAAGATTAAACTCAAACTTATTAATTCTATGTCAAATTCAAAAGATGTTTTTAAATTGTCAGGGCTACCCAAAATTAACATAAGTTCGCTGCTAAAAAGTTTAAAGAAANGCCTAACAGGAATACCCATTTATCATCCTAACTTATTAAGATTAAACTCAAACTTATTAATTCTATGCCAAATTCAAAAGATGTTTTTAAATTGTCAGGGCTACCCAAAATTAACATAAGTTCGCTGCTAAAAAGTTTAAAGAAATTTGAACTAGAGAATAAAAATGAACAGCAAGTGTTGGTACACTTTAATATTAGATATAATATATTATACCAATATATAACGTACATACATGAAATTATATATATATAAAATAAAATAGATGAAATTATATATATATAAAATAAAATAGATAGGTGTTTGAAATTTTATCTCATACATATTTTTCTCCCAAAATCATCTCATCATTCATTTCTATCACATGTTTAATCATTTAATATTTGATTAATTTGTAGTTTAACATAATTTTTATTTCAAACATTATTCATATACGATAATATATAAATATTGAAAAAAATTTGTCAAATTTTGTATTTTTTTCGATATTTTAAAAAAAAAATAGATAAAAAATAAATTTTAAATGATGTAATCAAATAAATAAAGAAAAAAAATTATTATTTAATATAGTAGAATTAATTTTTTAAATCCTCAAATTTTATATTTCATCGTATCTTCAAGCACGATTTGTGACTATTTTCTTATATAATTGATAGGGCAACGATCAAATCATATAATTAATGTTAGGTTGATCTTAGTTTGTTGGTGAAGATTTCAAAATTAATAGCACATTTGCCAAATCATATTATTTATGCACTCAATCAAACCAAACCAGCTTCTGCAATGATTTTATGTTCTTTATTAGTTGTTGAGAATACTCAAATTGATAGATCAACAATTAAACNGTTTATGCACTCAATCAAACCAAATCTGGCTTCTGCAATGATTTTATGTTCTTTATTAGTTGTTGAGAATACCCAAATTGATAGATCAACAATTAAACTATAAAATGATTGATGCTTGGTTAACGATAAGCCAATATATGGTTTTGTAATTTCATTAATTCACCCCAATAAATCTTGTGTTAAGTTATTTTTAAATAAAATAATAAATTAAGATGAAAAATAAATGATAAAATTTTATACATATTAATCTGTAATATGCTAAAAAAAATAATGTANATACATATTAGTCTGTAATGTGCTAAAAAAAATAATATATTGAAAAATGACGTTTCGATACTAAATTTTAACAGCTTAGTTACACATAAGAATTTCAAGTTAGATTTAATGATTTTATTAATCTATCATAATTGATTAATCCATCAATTTTTTCATTTTTGTTATTTTCATTCATTATCAAATATGATGTTTTATTTATCCCTCTAACTTTTTATCCTTTCAACTTTCCATCTTTTTATTTTTTTATCGTACCAACAAAACATTAAAGTATTGATGTGATTCCTATTTAGTCCATGGAGTTTTGATTTGTATAATTTAATCCTTAAAGTATTGATTGTGTTTTCATGAGAGACTTTCGTCCATATTCATCACAAATATCAAACGGTTAGTCACATCCGGAAGGGCATTTTTCGTTTATCTCTCTCATTGTCTTCGCTTACTATTCTAACCATAGTTATATCATTGACCTTACCCTTAAAATATATACGGTGAAGTAGACACTAAGATTAACACCGATGAAGATGTTGAAATTGATCTAGATTATTTGGACTTGAATGATAGTGCTAATGATATTAGTGATAAATACCAACAATCCTTTAGTCCAATTGTACTTCTTACATTGCGAAGGTTTTGCTTTCTTGAGGTTAAGGGTTCAAATTCCTCTCCCCCCAAAAAATATATTAAAATATTATGATATGAGTGATAAAGAATTGCTATAAAAATTAAGGTGAACATGATTAACATGCCTAAATAAATAGACAATTGGGGATACTGAGAAAGATTTTAGTAACGATCATGGGAAATCAGACATAATATGGGGTATGCCACCTCACCCCTCCAATGGTGGAAGACGGGACCTTATGATACTATAAAAATCAAGTAAAGCTTAGTTCAAAGGTACGTACTACTTTTCCTACAACCAGCTCTGATTACATTGTTAACTCATACTGACTTATGCATTGGAGTGTCTCTAACCGGCTCGCCCCGATCTTTGGAAGTTTGGCCATTTCGTAGGTGGAGCAGTGCAACCTTTCTTGTTCATTTGTTCCCAATCAAATCAATAAGTTACTAAAGAGTGAATGAGGAACTACTCACTCATCATGACTTTGGTCATGCTAGACAAGTGAGTGATACTCATCCCTCCAAGTGGAGGAGCTACTTAGTGAGAGTACAATAAATGAAAAGCTAATCTTCAACAAAGAATAAGTGAATCACGTCACACCCTTCACGACTTTGGTAAAAGCTATAGAAAAGTGAAAGAGTTTCACTCTTCTAAAAAGGAAGGAAACTCAAGGATTGGAAGTGAAAGACATAAATAATAAAAGTAGAAGAAAGCTAGTTACTTTCAAAAGGTTTCCACCACAACCAAAAGTTAAGCTATCTCTCTTGATACTTGTATATAACAGCAAGTACAACTATAAGGGGAGTCTTGGCCTCCATCATGGTTGTCACAATATGAATGTAAAGATTTAGTATGAGTAAATAAAAAACTTCAACTACAAGGGGAGTCTAAGCCTCCATCATGGTTGATACAAATGAAAACATAGATATAGATAAGAAATGTTCAAGAACTAGATTACCTAAAAATTTCTACTTTACAAGAGAAAAGATTGCTCTCTCATTTACTCTACAAGAGGAAGAATGCCCTTTAAGCTTACAACATGGGAGTATTTATAGGCAAGAAAAGGTAAAGGGGGGGGTATGAGATAAGAGATGATGAGTGAATAGTATTTATCGCCCATGGGAATCAACTATTCTATAGGTAGTCTGCAGAGAACGTTCGAACGTTATCTAGCGTTCGAACATTAAGTCTGTCTTTTCTTGAATGACGTTCGAACATTTTCTGTGTCTTTGCTTTGAGGGCGTTCGAACGCTAGATGGCGTCTGATTCCTTCCACCCAAGTGGCCTGTGGTCACTGACTTGGTCACTTCCATACGTCTTGAACAACCTTGACTTTACACTTAGCAACTTGGTCCTTAGTCACTCAAGACAATGTTCGAACATGGATTAATGATCGAACATTGTACTCAAGTACTTCTATTATGTGGTTCTTGCAACATGTCAGGTTCTAGTGGTGTAGTCTTCTCAGGATTCCAGAGGACGTTCGAATGTGAGTTGACGTTCGAACATGGTACTCAAGTACCTCAACATTTTTCTTTTGTTGACTGCAACACACCATGTCTCAGCAGCTGGTCTTGGCAGGATTTCAGAGGNCCTTTTGTTGACTGCAACACGTCATGTCTCAGCAGCTGGTCTTGGCAGGATTTCAGAGGACGTTTGAACGTGGGTTAACATTCGAACGTTCTTGCTTTGTTCCAACCTTTTGCAATTTTGTTCTCTATTGTGCTGGTGTTACATTTAAGTGTGATTTTTGTTGTTCTTGAGCCTTTGTTCACTTTAGGACCTGAAATGTCATAACTTAAACTCCATCAAAGCACAATTAGTCCAAAAAGGCATAGTAAAATTTGTTAACTTTACGCATGAATCAGGGGACATGATGTTGTGTGGGTGATAGTAGACCGACTTACGAAGTCGGCACACTTTTTGGCTGTGCGAATGACCTTTACACTAGAGGAATTCTGCAAGTTGTATATACGAGAGATTGTCCGGTTACATGGGATACCCGTATCTATAGTATCAGATCGGAATCCTAGGTTCACGGCTCATTTTTGGGAGAGTTTTCAGCGAGTTATGGGGACACAGTTGATGATGAGCACTTCTTTTCATCCCTAGACGGACAGCCAGTCTGAGAGAACTATACAGACGTTAGAGGACATGCATCCTAGATCTCAGGGGTAGATGGGAAGATCACTTACCCTTGGTAGAGTTCGCCTACAACAATAGTTATCAGACGAGCATACAGATGGCACCCTATAAGGCATTATATGGGAGGCCTTTTCAATCTCCAGTATGTTGGACGGAGGTGGGAGAGAGACCCTCTACGGGTCCAAATTTGATTAGAGACACCTTGGAGAAGGTAGACTTGATACGGAAGCATCTTCTTATGGCTCAAAGCCGACAAAAGAGTTACGCTGACAAACGACGGCGACCTCTAAATTTTGAGGTGAAAGATCATGTCTTCTTGAAGGTGATGCCTAAAAGAAAAGTGGTCAGGTTTAGCAAGCAGAAAAAGCTGTCACCGAGGTACATCGAGCCTTTCGAGGTACTCGAGAGGGTGGGTACAATTGCTTAACGGTTGGCGTTACCGTTAAATCTATCGGGCATTCATGCAATATTCCATGTCTCTACGCTCCAANGTACATCGAGCCTTTCGAGGTACTCGAGAGGGTGGGTACAATTGCTTAACGGTTGGCGTTACCGTTAAATCTATCGGGCATTCATGCAATATTCCAT